GCGCAGAGTTTTTAGTTCAAATATCGATACCTAGTCATATTTTAGAAAATGATTTCCGATTTTTTAAAAGAGAAATCGTTTTCTTGGATTTAAACTTTGGTAAGAAAACCTTTTTCCGTTAACTTATTTTCCTAAGCAATCCAAAAGCCGGAAACGAGGAAAATGTTTCCCCAGAAAATATTTTTCGTGAAACAAACATAGCCTTAATTCCTTTCTTGATCCTCTATCGTCTATTCATCGCATAAGCACTGCCATTGGAATCTATTCTTCAATTTGGCCAAGTCGACTACTATCAAATTGACGCTTGTTTATGATTTTCAAACATCAGAAATTTGACTGTGAAAAGTTTGCTCGCCGAGTAATAAAACTGTCAAAATAGGTCATAAGCCCATAGTTGGGTTGTAAATGGGTCATCTCAAATGTAAAACATGGGACAATAAGAGTTATAAAAAGAAATGGCTAAAACAGATGGGTTTAAGTGAGTATGATATAACATCCACTTTCAAACCACGTAATAAATAGGTCTTAGCCCACCTGCTCTTTGTTTCTTCTCTCTCCCTCTTCTGTTCCGCTATTCCACGATGATCGGGACTCACGAGCTTCTCTCCCAACTGATTGGCGTCGCTGCCGCCCCACCGCCTATCTCCAGCGTCACCCCGACGTGCTCACAAAAGCACCTGTTAGGGTTCATAGAGAAGGCGCCTTCGTCCCCCCGGCATCGCTGCCGCCCCACTGCCTATCTCCAGCTGGAGGTGAAGGGCGGGGACACCATCACGCGCATCTCGGTGAACAACGCCTTCGTGATGCGGGTGTCGAAGGAGAGCCTCGGGATCAGCAATGAGGTGATGCTGCCGTTAGACGGAACGGGTGGTTCACGAGGGCGATCGGGAGTGAGCTCGACTCAAGCGACAAGCCAGTGGGGCTCGGGAAGCGATCTTGGCGGTTTGCGCTGCTCGCAGAGGACGGCGTGGTGAAGGTGCTCAACCGGGAGGAAGGTGGGGCCTCCACCTTCAGTGGTGCCGATGATATTCTCAATGTCATGTAGATGTTTAAATGTTGCCTTTCTTCTGGCTTTTAAATTTGGTGTTGAGAGGTGAGGCTTTTGTTGGGTTCTGAGTTTGACAGACTTTCTGTTCTGACTCGTGCCTAATCAATTGAAATGGAATCAGAACTGCTGTTTTAATGCAGACACGTGAATTAAGATTTTCAATCTGGAATATCAAGATGCTGCCTTTCTTTGGGGTGATTTCGCTCAAAAGTCCGCCCTAGCTCACGCCGTCACTGTGCACTTTGTATCGATCCGACCGATTTCATGGGATGTGTCGAGAAGAGGGGGATCGTTCGTGCAGTTCTAAATTGGCCTGTCCAGATTGTAAATTGGTGAGGATAATGATCATGTTCCAGCTGGTGTGCGCTTTTGACAGAGTCGTGTTTGCAATTCCTGCTTCCTGGTTTTGACAACCCTTTCTTTGACATTAAAAGAAGGGCAATGGTCGGAGACAGATTAGAAACTTGTCTTGGTGGGGGCAGACTCCAGAGTTCCTTAGCAGATACGTGATTGAAATATATTGAAGTTTCAGTAATTGATACGGCATCTTTTGGTAGATAGATATCCATATACGTACTAGAACAATAATTCTAGAGGAAGCTCGATACTGTCTAGATCGAAATTCAATCAAGATTGAAATAGAAATTCCAAGTATCACAAGTTTAACTTTTTAACTTGGTGAACTAACAATTAAGAAACTACACATTCTCGTATGTTAGAAGAGTTCCTATAATCAAATATTATTTTCATGTCAATGGTTAGCTGATCAAACTTTTTCTTATCAAGAGCTCTTTATAAATACTTCAATTTATAGGTTTTTTACCTTTTTTATTTTATTTACTAATTTTTTATTGTTTAATTTACTTTTTTAATTTGATGTAAAGATTTTATTCAAGTAACATATACACGTGAAGAGCTTAAAGTAGCTTAAATGGGTGAGAATGAATTTTTCTAGATTAGGTTAAATATTAATGTATTTTGGTAATATGAGTCGTTTGGGTATGGGTCAGGTATAGGTCGGGTACAAGTATGGGTCATTAAATTTACATTATATGGATATTGATTAATATGGGTTGGAACATTTTTTACCCAACCTGACCCACACATTTGATGGCTCTATTGAGTAGGAATAATCCACATAAATAATATGAAATTAACAAATAATATATAATAAAGTGAACGGGGCGGGAACAGTAAAAGGATGACGTGACTTAATTTGTAATTTTGTTTATTTTTTTAGTATGAAAAAGGGCTAGCATCGTAAATCTATTATCCCTATTTTATCATCTAATAAAACGCGAAGTAACTCTCTAGGAGGTAATGAAAGAAAACTAGTATCCAAGCGCTTATCGATTCCAAGATTAACAAATCATTCAGCAAAGCGACTTTTTTCCGAAAATTATCTTGTACTTTAAACTCAAAATGAGAACGTAGTTGTCTTTTGATATCTTTAACCAAAGCCAAGGCTAGCGTTATTAATCATAAGATATAAACTAATAATATCAGTGATGACTTTAGAGTCAATCTCAATGATGATCCTATGAAAACTGAGTTGTTTTGCAAAGTTGAGTAGAGAGTTTGCAGGTAAGTTCTTTTTGTTATTTTCATATTTTGTAATCTGTTTGGTATTGGAGTTAATAGGTTATATTTAAGACTAGTTTTGTCTTAAATAATCCTAGATCAATATAAGAGAATAAAATCTAGCTATTGTTCCTTTTTTGTCAATTTAAAAAAAAATAATGTTGATAATCCATTCGACTATTCAACAAAAATTCTTCAAAGATACAATACGTTTATTATTTTTGTCCCACTTAAACTACCAAATGGAAATGGTTATTACTTGGTTCTCTTTATAATTATTTTTATTTAACTAAATATGAAAAATATAAATGTAATAATATAATTATAAGTCGATATATGTGTGTCAGTCAAAAGATATCTCCCATGAAAAATTGAGTTCACACGCACAATAGAAAAGAAACTAACTTTCTCACAATTGTATTATGGTTGATCTAATTAACAAGAGTTTAATGTGCTTTATTTGCAAAATCTAAAGGGTTAAAACCACGAAAACTCCAAACTGATACACCTATGATAAATTTACCCAAAACTAATCTTTTGATCACAAAAAACTCTAAACTGGTACATTTGTAATAATTTTACCCTCCGTTAGTTTTCGTTAAATTTTACCATCAAATTTCTGAGTTGGATGACACGTGACAATTGACGAGTGTACCAGTTTGGGGTTTTGCCCTCCGTTCGTCACAGGTGTATCGGTTTTTGATTTTTCGTGATATTAATCAAATTTAACGGATGGCAAATTTGTTACAAATGTACCAGTTTTGGGGTTTTTTAATGATAAAAAAAATTAGTTTTGGATAAAATTGTCACGGATGTACCAGTTTTGAGTTTTTTGTGATTAAAAAATTAGTTTTTGGTAAATTTATCATAGGTGTGCCAGATTGGCCTTTTTCGGGGTATTAACCCTAATCTAAAACATAATGCCCTTAATAATTCTTAAAATCAATGGAATATATGCAACAGAATTAACATGCCGACTTTTTTCGGAATTTTGAGCGATATGTGCATGTGCCGTCGATAACCGTGGAGGTCGCTGGAGATGGCTATTGATGTTGGCGGAGCAGGTGGTGCGCGAGCGTCAAGGATATAGCTGGACTGTTGCTTGGTGGACTCGCAATCGTTGCTGAAGACCCAAGGAGGAAGACGATGCTTTGCTCTTTCTTTTCTCTTTTCTGTTGCTTTTTCTATTCTGCCGACCTGGAGAACCTGCAAGAAGAAAAGAAAGCCTTCTTTTGGCTCTCTATTGTCACCGTGTTGAGCGGATATGCAACACGCATGCTAATTTCAGCCACCTTGGCTAAAATTTAGCACTTTCATGGGCTCGGTCCAATTAATTAATTAAGTTCATAACCTCAAGTCATCCACCGCTGGTCCAATTAATATGCAAAACTAAAGCATGCACCTAAAAAGTGTATGCTGCACAATTTAATTATATTATTTTTGTTAAAGATTAGCTCCTAATTTTCCATGCAATTAATCTTAAATGGTTAGCCGAAATTTAGGCGTCAATAGAAATGTTGAATGAGATTCTCACGAGATAGACGATGTTTTCTCGGACATCAAATTTTGTGTAATCAAATTGAAGCAAATGAAACCAATGGACATATGGATGGACTGATGTCATCATACAAAATTAGTACCCATGCCCTGCATTGTACGTTTCTGAGGGTACGATTCAATCAGAAATTCAGGACAAAAAACCTGTCCAAGCATGAATAACAATGCAAACTATGATTTTTTTTTTTTTGTTTTTGTGGCTAGAGTGCAAATTACAATATTTGGTGGCCGTATAATACCATAGGAGAACTGCATTTTCTCAATGAATGTAAATCCACTGGCATTTGCTTTTATGGAAATAATAATTAATCTAACTTAAATTCTAATCTTCCCCCAAACTAATTACCTTATTATAAAAAAAGTTTGATGCCGCTTGTGTTCGTTCTAAAATAAATTTGTATCCTAATTCCTACGATAAACTACCAAGCAATGGCTTATACTTAACGCGATCCTGGGATTAGAGCTCGGTATTAACCGAGCCATATATATGACGTGGATCTAATACACAATATATTTATAAATAAATTGTTTGCTCAAGAAAATAGTGGTTACTCGTGAAGTTGACTGCTTTTCTTCAACATCTAATATGTACAAGATGGCTAATTCTCAACGACATAAAGCATTTTCTCAACAGTTCATTTTCAATGACACGAGCATTTTATGTGATTTAGTCTATGTATATACGTGGATAATCGTATTTACTATGAAAATATTAATGACGGTCATAAAAAAAGTACATTGACACAACTCTAAAATTGCCGGTTGTGTAATGTAAGCAACCGTACTTATCACGACAAATGACAACACTCAACCATCCAATCCAAACTAACGCTGCATTATTTATCGCGATAAATGCCACCGGTGGCAGAATTGAAGAGTCTTACATATTTTGCATCAAGCCGGGATTAATATACAGATCAATTAAGGTAGAGGGAAGCCTAGGCAACTCTTCAAGAATGTTGCAGTGTAGCAAATCAAGAGTCTGAAGACTTGACATGAACTGGATTTCTGATGGAAGGCTGGATATACGTGTACATCGAAGCCTCAGTTCTCTAAGACGATCTAGTTTCCTAATATCACTAGGAATCACTCCCTCCAAACTCCTACACCAGGATGCATGTATCTCTTCCAGGTTTATCAACTCTCCAATGTAAGAAGGAAATTCTCTCAAGAAACAAGAATCCATTTTCAGCACTTTCAAACTCTGCAGGTGTTTAGTTGAATCGGGCAACTTCGAAATACCCGTACCTGATATATCCAACTCTACTAATGAGTCTTCCAGTTTTCCAATGGATTCCGGAAGCTTTCCTAGCCCACGACAATCCCTCAAAGACAAGCGTCTGAGCTCCCCCAAGTCTCCAATTGAATCCGGGAGTTCGAGAACTTTCGCGTTATCCAAGGCTAGCACTGAAAGAGTTTTAAGTTCAGAAACTGAACCAGGAAGCTGAACCAATGAGAAGCAATTAGTGGCACTAAGAATTTGCAGTTGAACCAATTTGCCTATCGATGCAGGAAGTTCTCGTACGGAAGTGCCATCAATCAGGAGCTCTTCCAAAGCATTCATCCCATCCATTTCCACTGGCAACATGCTAAGTTCGGAGCAGAACTTCAAATTCAGGGTAACCAAGAGCTTCAGATCATTAATTGAAGGATCTAAATGAACCAATCGAGAACATCGCTCAAGAATCAGTATCTCTAAATTTGGGTAACAAGAGAAGCTGGGGGTAACTAATAAGCCCGCACAACCTGTAAGATTCAAGACTTTCAAACACTCCATCTGCAAAACAAGGGGAAAAATTCAGCTGGCGTAGAACTCTTAATGTACTTAAGGGCCAACACAAACACAACAACAAAGAAGCTATGATGCACCTTAATTCCTTTCCAACCTCCCCAGGATTCTGTAACCATACTCCACGAAAGATCCACAATAAGTAAGTTCTCTAAATGAATGCTGATTGCTTCACAATCTCGAGGGCACCCTTGCCAGTGAAGCCACCGAACATTTAATAAGGCATCTGCAAATCTTCCACCAATATTGGCACAACCTAAGCTGAGAAATGTCTTGCTCGGTAGGATCTCAAACCCTGCCATGATAGTGTTAAGGTGGTCTGTTCCCTGTACGATGGACCATAAAAGTCAAGTAGAGAAACATGTGGAAATCTTCAGATGATGAAATGACTACTATGGATGCCTAAACTCATGAGATAAAGAAAATGCTTCATACATGAGACCATTTCGAAGAAAATCAAAAATCAAATTAGGGCCCGCATGCTACTTTTTTTCCCGACATACCCTTTTTCTCTTCTTCGTGTCGTGGGCTTTGGCAGGAATGTAGAATCTAACACATGTTCCTGGATCATGGAAACCTTCGTAAATAATCTTCCTGGCAAGGCTTTTTAGCATTTTGTGCATGCCTATTTTATTTTCTTCCATTTTTATTAGGGACAAACGATGAAGGACCTCGATTTCATCATGAGGACGATCATAATCATGCCACATATATGAGGCAATCCTACAATCCACATCTGGAAGAAAACATGCAACATCAAGATACATCTGCTTTTGCTTTTGATCTAATGCTTCATAAATTGTTCTGAGAATCTTCTGGTAATCTTCCTGAAATTGTTGTATGAGATCTCTGAATTTAATCCATTCCTTTTGTCCTTTACCATGCAAAAAAGAACCAAAAACTTTGACAAGTAGCGGAAGTCCCTCCGCAGCCTTGACTATTCTGTTTGCAATTTCAACGTAAGGTTGATGTTTATAACTCTTTCCCATTGCATACTGCCAAAAAAGGGCAAAAGCTCGATTATCATCCATCGAACTAACATCGTAAGTATGAGCCGACCCTTGATCAAGAAACCCTTGAAGAATGCTTCTTTGTTTTGAGGTTACAATTATTCTACTGCCAGAACCAAACCAATCAAGCTTAGCTCCTACAAACTCCTTGAGGAAGGACACATTTTCCACATCATCGAGAACAAGGAGAACTTTCACATTCCTCAAGATTTCTTTCAAAAATCGTACTCCTTTGAAAGCAGAAGCAACCTCATACTCTCTTTTCAAAATATCAAAGATCAACTTGGTTTGAAGACACTGAAAACCACCAGGTTGCTGCATTGTTTCTTCAATCTCCGCAAGAAAACTACAAGCGTCAAAGTGAAGGGAGATTTTGTTATATATGATCTTGGCAAGAGCAGTCTTTCCAATGCCATCTCTCCCATGGATTCCAACAATTCGTACATCGTTCACTTGTGTGTCCAATAAGCTAATTATTTGCAATACTTGACTGTCTTCAAGCCCCTAAAAAGGTACTTAAGTTTAGGAGAATGTAACTTTAGTAGAGAAGGGAAGAGAAGTAAAAAAATATACAGAGGTACTGTATGTTCCAGATGATAACGCCATTCTCTGAAACATGTGCTTTGAATGTGCATGTCAATCAAATGCCTTGTTAGTTGAGATGTTGTAACTAATGTTTAGCTGACAGAGTAGGCAGGCTGTTGAAGATAACCTCTACTGAAGTTCCTCCAACGCCATCATTCACTCCATGCATCCCACTTAAGCTAAAGATACGACGGTAAACCTGGTGCCTCCATCATGGAAAAATCTGTTAGTAAATCTGGCTTACTAAGCATCAAAAAGCCTAAACTGACTAACGTACCCTGTTTCTTATCCTTTGTAGTCTGAAAAGGAAGCACAGAAAGGTAACTACAGGCCTTATCAGGGACCATCTCGAGGTTGCCTGCAGTAATAAATCAAGTAACAGTTTCCCTTGAGATTTTGCTTAAAGGTGCAAGATCTATATAACAAACAAAACTTAGTCCAACAGCATGAGGAAGAAAGCACAAACATAATTTGAACGATCCAATCTCACACTGCTTCCGCAAAACACCAGCACAGAAAATCATCAGCCATCTAGAAAGTTAAACATTTTTTACACATTGATGACAGGCCTATCATAAACAGTAAAAGCAGGAAGATGCAAAAACCACTTAAAAGATAGTATCCAGAAGTTAAGAGGGATGCTTTAGGTTTTCTATGAAATATAAGTGGATATGTCAAACTTCCTTCTCAAAGTGTAAACTATCAATCACAACAGTTATTCGGAAATTTTCACTTTCCAGGAACCATGAGAGCTACAATATTCTTTACAAGTTACAACTTACAAATGCTCTTTGGCAAGTTTCCTGTCCTGAGAGAGAGTTTCTAATCTGGCATGTCATCTCTTTGTAATTTTATTGCTTAGACAACATTTCTCTACTGATTCTCCAATCCTGCCATTTCTAATTCGTTGGAGATTTTTACTGTCTGTTTAGTTTTTCCCAAATACTAACAATCCTTCCTAAAACAAAGTGCACAGCATTTAGAGCTACGTAGTCTTGGCCATTGTATTCTTTACTGGATAATATGATTCATGGCACCAAAACTATTGAGTGTCTTGAAAGCAATGAACTGAGACTAATATAAGAATTCACCACTTTATCAACATTTGTGTATAATCGGCTCAACACTAGAGTCCACTAAACAAAAGAACAGAGTGAAGAACCATAAGAAGTTTGCCCATTCTCTAAAACAATCAGGAGTGGCAAAGTGGATGGGACATAAGCTGAAGGTGGCAGCTGCACAAGGCTGTGGTGATGGGGGATGCAAAAAGGTGAATTAGTTGTTTCAGAAGAATATAATGGGATTCATGCGATTCAAGTATAGTTGCATTTCAAGAGATACTTTTTCGATCAACCAAGATGGTCATTTGGCAGGTAAATACAGAAGAGACAATGATAATAGACAAATATACCTAGAGGTATTTATATATTAAAAAGTCAAGTTGGATGCATTGCTGCTCCACTTAACACAAAGCTACAGACACTCTTAATAGCTGATATCACAAAATTAAATTACCTGCCATTATTTTGTACAATCAAAAGAACAGATCAGAATTGTGGGAATCTAAAACCACAATCACCAAACAGCAAGCTATTTAAACTCTTGTAAGAGGTTCTTTTTGGAACTAGCTACGAGGGCGGGAATTTATTATATGGAAAGATAATTTCTAATAAATCTGGGGAAAAGAAATGAAGAACCTAGAAAAGAAAGGAAACATTATAGATAGGCTATGCTGGATATGATCTTTGATGAGGTAAACAACAACCGAATCTATTACACACATGGAAAGTGGATAGAATGGGGCTTTGTCGTTGATCGATATAATTACAAAGCTCCTTTCCCTCCAGCTACTCTTGATATTAATTAGAAAACGAAAAGGATTAATAGCCCCACTTACTCTCCCATCAATGTACTTTGGACAATATTCCTACTCTTTATCTTGTCTGTTGACTTCAATGTAATTAATAGTAGTCGATAGGCTAAATTTACCAATCCGAATTTTATTTGGTTTTTTCATTCATTAGTCATACATATCGAAGTCTGTAATTGTATCTAATTTTTGTAGCATGATTTATCATGTGTTCACGCATACAGAATATAGATAGGAAGCAATTATACATTCTTTACATTGTCGAAAAAATTGATATCTTATATGATACTTTAGCCATGTTGATAACAATCACCAAAGTACTGCAACTCACAATTAAGCTCTTAATTTTTCTTTTTGAATTTATAAATCTAGTTACACATATCATTTTTGCATAGTCCTTCTAGTATGTAACACTATAAAATTATCAACATTAGTGATTGTTGAAAACAAAATTACAAAAAACACTATCTATCCAATACGTGCATTATCATACTCTTTGGTATGAAATATATACATTAGACCTAATTACTTCAAAATTATCATATTAACAGCCAAAAGCAAGCTTTAGATAACAAAAGCCAATTAAATTTGTACTATAATCTATGAAACTTCGACAAAATATTATACACCTTCTAAGCTAGGGTTGAGCAAAAGTTTTTATCTCGTCTCTAAGTTTCGCACCCACCATTCCTTCTAAAATATTAACTAATAACTCTTCAAGTTTTGTTCCCCGTGATCAAACTAAATCGCTTCTCCATTCTCTTAGAAAGATTTTCATGGCCACCTCTAAGCGATATATTTAACATCCCAGCGTTCCAAGAGACAATCTTAATGTCCACATGGGGTGATTTTCTACTTAATTGGACTTCTACTTTTCACTTTGAGCGTTTATAATTGGATTTTTGTTTGGTAGCTAAAATTTGATTCTTATTTAGTATTGAAGACCGATTCTCTTAAAAATCGTATCAATGTCAGCATTCAAAGTACTGTGAATATATTTTACAATTTCAAATTTTTCTTTTGACAAGTGTATTCAAGAGCAATAAGCAGGCCTCCCATTTACGCTGTAGGTGTTAGGAAATATCTAAGAAATTGAAAAAAGACTCAGCATCTTAAGAGCCACCCTTTATGCCAAAAAAGTAAGCTGGAAAGCCAACAATCCTTTTCAGCACCTTTAGAACTTTCCTCATTCTTAAAAGTGCCACCTATCTTTGTTTCCAAATAACCCAAAAGATGGTACCGGGGCACAACACTTTTCCTATCTTTGGGCATGTTAGCCTAGACCAAGCTAAGAGTTCCTCTCTTACAGACCCTACCACAACCTAACTAATGTGCAAGAGTGATAAAGTAGTATTTCAAAGTCTTCAAACCTCCAGGCAATCATGGAGAAAAACACAGAAAAAATCCACTCGTGCAGTATCAATTCTTTCACTTCCGTGTCCAACAAGCTAATTATTTGCAATACTTGACTGTCTTCAAGCTCCTATAAAGGTACTTAAGTTTAGGAGAATGTAACTTTAGTAGAGATGGCAAGAGAAGTGAAGAAATATACAGAGGTACTGTATGTTCCAGATGATAACGCCAATCTCTGAAACCTGTGCTTTGAACGTGCCTGCCAATCAATTATTCCTTTTGTTAGTTGAGATGTTGTAACTAATGTTTAGCAAACTGAGTAGATAGGTAGTTGAAGATAACCTCTACCGAAGTTCCTCCAACACAATCATTCACCTCATGCATCCCATCTAAGCTAGAGACAAAACCGCAAAACTCCTGTCTCCATTATGGAAAGATCTATATGTAAATTTGGCTTACTAAGCATCAAAAAGCCTAAAATGATTAACATACCCTGTTTCTTACTGTAATAAGTAACTGACTAACATACCCTGTTTCTTATCCTTCGCAAGAGGTACAGAACGGCAAATACCGACCTTATCAGGGACCATTTCGAGGTTGCCTGCAGTAATAAATCGTGTAAGAGTTTCCCTTGAGATCTTGCTTAGAGGTGGAAGATCTATAATAAACAAAAGTTAGTCCCCCAGCATAAGGAAGAAAACACAAACATAATTTGAGCGATCCCATCTGTCACTGCTTTCGCAAAACGCTTGCACTGAAAATCATCCATCTAGTAAGTTAAAATTTGTAACACGTCAATGACATGCCTATTGTAAACAGTAAAAGCAGTAAAATGCCAAAACCACTTAAAGATAGTATCCAGATGTTAAGTGGGATGCTTTAGGTTTTCTGTAAGAAAAGAAGTGGATATGTCAGACTTCCTTCTTAGAGTGCAAACTATCAATCACAATAGTTGACCGGAAGTTTTCATTTCCAGGAACTATGAGAGCTACAATATTCTTAATGAGTTACAAATTACAAATGCTCTTTTGCAAGTTTCGTGTCCTGCAGAGAGTGTCTAATCTAACATGTCATCTCTTTGTGGCTTTATTGCTTAGCCAACATTTCTCTATCAATTCTCCAATCCCAGTATTTCTATCTTCATTTATAGTAATTCGTTGGAGTTTTTTACCGTCTGCTTAGTTTTTAAACTAACACTAAGGGCGCGCATGGAATCCATTCTGGAGTAGAAATTCTGCTCCAGAATGCATTCCGGAACAGAAATGCGTTTGTTAAAAAATTTCCTGAATGCATTCTGGAGCAATTTTTGCATTCTGGAATAAAAATGCGTTTGTTAAAAATACTTGATTCCAGAATGCATTCTTGATTCCAGAATGAGTTTTGGGCAAGAAAAAGAGAAGCTACTTTTTGTAGCTTCTCTATTCCAGAATGCATTCTCCCTATTTTCTCTCTTTTTCGTGGCCTTTACAATACATTTTGAGATCTCACTAATTTTTTTTCAGAAAATGCATAAAAATTGAAAAATTCCAGAAAAATTCATAAAAATTTCCAGAAAATAAAAAAAAAGTCAGATTTCGGGAAAATAGAAAATTTGGTGAATTTTTTTCAAAAATTATAAAAAAATCAAAAATTTCAAAACTTCACGAAATGGCTTAAAATACTTTGGGCACCCACTTTGAGTGAAATTTAATTTTTTTGAGGTGCCCAAAAAAATCAAAAAATCAAAAATTTCAAAACTTCACAAAATGGCTTAGAATACCTTTGGGCACCCACTTTGAGTGAAATTTAATTTTTTTGAGGTTCCCAAAAAAATTAAAAAATAAAAAATTATAAAACTTCACAGAATGGCTTAGAATACCTATAACCACCCACTTTGAGTGAAATTTAAATTTTTTTAGGTGCAAAAAAAAATCAACAAATCAAAATAGATTTCTGTTCCAGAAATCAATTTCTGGAGCAAAATTAGTCATGTTTTATCAAACAGATTTCTCCTCCAAAAATCAATTTCTGGCAAGAATTCCGGAAATCAATTTCTGGCAAGAATTTGATTTCTGGAGCAGAATGGTTACCATTCGCGCCCTAACAATCCGTCATAAAACAAAGTGCACAGCATTTAGAGCTACATCGTCTTCCCTGTTGAATTTTTTTACGCGATTATACGATTCATGGCAGCACAACATAAGTGTGTCGGAAGCAATGCATTGAGACTACTATAAGAATTCACCACTTTATCAACAATTGTGTATGATCAGCTCAACCCTAGAGTCCACCAAACAAAACTACAAAATGAAGAACCATAAGAAGTTTCCCAGTCCTCTAATATGTTAAACTATCGGAAGGGGCTAAAGAGCTGATAGGACATAAGCTGAAGGTGGCAGCTGCATAAGGCTATGGTGATGGGGGATGCAAAAAGGTGATTTAGTTGTTCCAGAAGAAACTAATGGGATTCAGGCTATTCGAGTACAGTTGTGCTTCAAGAGAGGCTTTTGCGATCAATCAAGATGGTCATTTGGCAGGTGAATACAGAAGAGACAATGATAATAAATATATATATGTAGAGAGAGAGAGAGAGAGGTATTGTTGTAATAAAAACTCAAGTTTGATGCATTGTTGCTCCACTTAACATAAAGCTACAGACACTCTCAATGATATCATGAGATTAACAATTACCTATCATTACTTTGTATAATCAAAAGAACAGATCATTATGAGATCAGTATTGTGGTGGTCTAAAAACCACAATTACCAAACAGCAAGCTATTTATACTCTTGCATTAGATCGAAAGGTTCTTTCTAGAACTAGCTACGATGGTGGGGATTTATCCTATTGAAGGACATTTTCTAATAAATACTGAAAAAAAAAATGTAGAACCTAGAAACGAAAGGAAAAATTTAAAGATCGGCTATGCTAGATATAATCATTCATGAGATAAAAAGAAACAATCGAATCTATTACACATGTAGAAAGTGGATAGAATGGAGCTTTGTCGTTGATCCATATCATTACAAAGCTCCTTTCCCTCCTGCTACTCTTGATATCAATTAGAAAAAGAAAAGGATTAATAGTCCCACTTACTCTACATTAACATACTTTGGACAATATTCCTACACTATTTATCTAGGGTGTTAACTTCAATATAATTAGTAGTAGTAGTCAATAAGCTAAATCTGCCCATCCAAATTTTATTTGGTTTTTTCATTTATTAGTCAAATATAGTTGCAGAATGTTCATTGTACAGATTGTGTAGTTGTAACTTGTTAGAGATATTTAGGTATCTTCTAGAGATATTTAGAATATTTCCTTCGATTCTCCGTATCTATTTTGATTAAGCATATCTTATATGATTTCCTTAGATTGTCATCTATTCAAGCCTATATATAGGTTCCATGTACTCTTCTCTATTTACATTGAAATATACAGAATTTCTTTCTTCCACTTCTTTCGCATATCTAATTTTTTAAAATTATTTATCATGCGATGACACATATAGAATTTAACTAGAAAGCAATTATACATTATTTAAATTATCCAAAAGATTGATATCTTATATGGTGCTTTAGCCATGTTGCTAGCAATCACCAAAGTAATGCAAATCCCCATTAAGCTTTAAATTTTATTTATTTATACACCTAGTTGCACATTTCATTTTTGCATAGCCCTTCTAGTTTGAAAAACTCTAAACAGTTATCTTCATTATTAATAGTTGAAAACAAAATTACAAGAAACACTATTCATCCAATGATACATGCATTATCATTTCCCTAGGCATAACTATCAAAGAAATTCAAAGACAACTCAACATCTTAAGAGCTGCCACCTCTATGCCAAAAAAGTAAGGTGTAGAGCCAACTATCCTTTTCGGCACCTATAGAACTTTCCTCGTTCTTTTTTCGTTTTTTTTTGGTCGAAACTTTCCTCGTTCTTAAACGATCACCTATCTTGCTTTCTAGATAACCCAAAAATATAGTACCTGACTAGACCAAGCTAAGAGTTCCTCTCTAACAGAACCTGCCACAACCTAACTAATATGCAAGAGCAATAAGGTAGTATTCCAAAGTCTTCAAACCACTAAATGAAGGAGAAGCAGAGAATTAAATTCCGCATTCCACTTGAATGCTCTTCAAATCTTCTGTAGTAAGAAGCACACTTCCATAGAAAGCTTAACCTAACAATTGCTTTAGTCTCCAGGAAAATACTCAACGGAAAAGGAGGGTTCCCAACTTCAGCTCCAACCATGGGATAGCTCCTATGTGCTGCAGTGAACATACCATCCCTACTATGCTTCCATAACACAGCATCCGCTTCCTCATTAAAACCATGAAAGGCACGAAGCACTGCCAAAAAAAATCAAGAAAAAGCTCTCTTCCAATCTTCAGCATTCTTATAGAAATCAATGTGTCATACCACTCCTCCATTTGCTCTTCTATAATTTTCCTCCACCAGAGCATCTTTCTGTCTAGCCAATTAAAAGACGTCAGGAAAGGAGACAAATGAAGGTTGATCTCCACATCGTTTGTCTTTCCGAAATGAATTTGTATACCCTTGGCCACTGTGAATTTGCTTGAAGCTATAAAGTGCTTCTGGTCTCTACATGTCACCTCCAAGGGCTCCTTACAATATTGCCTATTTGCACATTAGTTATCCATCTATTACAACTAAATATTTTAGGATCTCAAGAGAGAGGGAGAGAGAAATTACTCTAAGATTACATCATTACTCAATGAATAAATAGAAAACGGATCTTGTACAAAATTGCTCCCGGTGCACTAGTTAAGCAACCAAATGAGCATATTGCAATTTCCAATACATTGATAGTCATTTAATATGAACAATCGACGCTCCACAAATGCTTTGGGACAAGAACCATACAAATAACACAAGTTCCATTTACAGAGCATTGAGAGTTGATAAACGCTCCAAAACCCTAATTGCCTTATTTAACACTTAGCTAATATAGCTTATTTTTAATATCACCTATTATACTTCAAGTCTCCTCCTCAAGTTGGAGCATCCAACTTGCAACTACAGGGCGCATTGCTTCATAATGAATGTGGATACACCAACCAGATTTAAGACAAAGACAGATACGAAAGTCGAACCTTACACGGCAAGTAGAATGTAATCCACATCGACTCTGGCTTTGACAAAGCACTGAAGCAAACTAAGATCAACAAATTGACACCTTTCTCTCACATAACCCAGGTAAAAATGTCTGATAACCCAACTTTCATGAGTTGTGGCAAGCTAAAGTGCATCGCTCCCACGGCCCTCGACTCTAGCCACATGAATTAAGTGTGCACGATAGCAATGCTCAAAGCTACCTCTTGATGGCAACTTCGCACGTCTTTGACGCTCGCAACCAAAGGCGGGCCTCACATCGAGCGACATGACAGAGTAGGCGTTGGGAATTTGGAAGACCAAAATTGAGGAATCTGCTGAAGATGAGTTCCTGTAGACTAAGCACCGTAGCTCTTTATTTCTTTTAAGGAATTGATTAGAGCACAAACCCAAGACCAAAAAAGTAAACCCATGCAAACAGAGCTCAATTAACAGAGGAGCAGAACTACCACGAAGACAAAAGGATGAGGACAAAAAGATGAGGACAACCACAACTGACAAAGGAAGGATGAGAAAGCACAGGTTCCAAATGAGGTTCTGGGCTCACGACTGAAGACGGTGAGGCATGACTTTACCAGATCTAGAGAAGCTGAGGCTAGACAAATACTAGCAGTGTGGAGGACAGCTCACAACAAAGCACAATCATCGACAAATCTTGCCAACAAACAGCGATTCCCCACTTCCGTCGAGCACAGATCAGCAAGATCTCAGCTGGAGTTTTCTTTGTGAAACATGCTAAAAGACATCCCGGTTGAACTGGCCAGCCTGTTCCAGTTTTCAAAACCCTGGCTCTAAGTGTTCCCCATTTCTTTCATAAACAGTGTTATATTATCAGCTCAACAATACAGAGTTCACCAAAAAAAAAAGAGCAAATGGGAACTTCAGAGCCAATTTCCCAGTACTCGAATATGCAGAAAAATCAGAAGTGCAACACAAGCTTATATACCATAAGCTTAAGGTGGCAGCTGCTAGGGCTAATATTTGGTACTTTCTTATCATATTTGTGCCAGTATCATAACAACCGAGATATTGCCGATGATTCTCAAATATCAAAGAACAAAATGTCATGCGATGAGATAGAATGCAATAGAAAAAAGCATCGTGTCAAATCCATGTCCAAGTTGAACATGACAAGATCAGCATTCAGTCCCAACTTTAAAATCCAAACTCGGTATGATTATTAAGCATGTTACATAATGAGATATGTTTGACACATTCAAGGTATCAGTTCACACATAAAAAAACGTAACAATGTGTTTAGACGTACGTAAACATGTCCAAACCCACTTACGCACATTTGTTAACCCATTTAATTAAGCATGTCAAGTTTAAGCTTGTTATAAACAAGTCAAAAGAGATCAACCCATTGGCGACACGCTTATTACTTGTGTATAGACTGCTTGACCAATTTATGCAACGGATGCGATTAAGTTTAACCCGAACACACTTGTCCAGGTAACATGCAAGTGTCGTGCAATTGGTCAACCCTAGCAGTTGCATAAGGCTGATCAGAAAAAAAGGCGACTTCCTTGTTTCAGAAGGCAATTATGGGATTTTGGCTACCACAATATAGTCGCATTTCAAACAATGCTTGCATGAGTAAACAATTTGATTATTGTTTGCCTGAAAATACAAAAGCGACAACAATAATATATAAATATTTCCAATAGTAATGTTTTAGTAAAGTCAGTTTTGATGCATCAATGCTCCTTAAAAAATAAAAGGTAGGAGGTATTAATGAATCGCCAATATCGTGAACTTAACACCTACTTTGCCATCAGTTTTGTGTAATAAAAGGAATACTGTGGCAACATTTTTGTGTGGTGGTCTAAAACGACAATTACTATACACTCAGCTATTCCACTTAACTCAGACCATCAAACTGATAATGCAAGATATGATCTTTGATGAAATAAACAATTGATAATTATGAAGTGTAGACTTGTCCCTCTACTCTTTGTGGATTCTACTCTTGCAAGGGTGCTTAGCTATTGAAAAATTGAAGTACATGCAAGCAGCTTCAGAGTTCGGACGATGACTTGCATTCCCTTGTAGTTTCGTTAATATGTTTACCTTCTTATTTCTATTATATTCTAACTTTACAACAACTGTATAATCATGTAAAATAATCAGTGGTGATATGACTTTTTATCTATTTTATGTAAGCACACTCAAGTCTGAAACTAACTTCGTCAACGGGTACGATCTTTAGGAGAGAGTACTGGAGAACAGAGGAGAATAGGAGCAAAGAAATATACCGAGGTCCCGTAAGATAACACGGGTCCCTGAATACCGGCCTTTGCATGAGCCTGCTCATTGGTTCTGTTCCCTTTGACTTTGAGTGGATCAGAACCAGTGACTATATCTTCGGGCACTATGTTGGTGTTGAGTGGAACAGCACCAGTGAATAGATTCTCAGGGTCTATGGCACTGAGTGGCTGAGCACCAATGGATAGCTTGTCAGACTCTATATCAGAACTGACTGGCTCAGCATGAGTGGATAGATGTTCAGGCACAACATCACGCCCTAGCTGCAGCTTAAGCCAAATTCCTCTAACAATCGATGTGATAAGTTCCCCAACACTGCCACGGCATAAAAAACCTCAGTTCCAAACCATTAACAGAAGCAATTGGAGGACCTACCACCCAACGCACTACATAATGAAAGCGAGTTGGATGTGCTAAAAGATCACTGATCCTTAACTGCAGAACATGATTTACCTGATGCAAAGATATATTAAACATACCACACTGATGTTTAGTAACTGTATGATCGTGCGATAATGCCATTGCAGCAAGTATTTAGTCGACGGATGGATTATATTGTCACAGTTTGCCATTGGGGTAAAAATATCACTCAAGCACATGTTGAATTACAGAATGGCGCGATCATGTGGATGAATAGAATTAACTTTTAAAGATAGGTCACGGAGCCAGACCGACATATGTTGTCAATTGGAGAGAAGGATTAGGCCCGACATAAAAGAAGAGGGAATTTAAAAATTTTACCCCAGTTAATTCCCATCAATAATTTCCTCGTTTTTCCTCTAGTTTTGTCCCCCATAAAGCTTTGAAATGGGCTCGGTAACCATCATAAACCCAAGCAAGTGAACTAAACAATGTAATCTAGAGTACAGGAGAGCCTTCGACCATTATTTGCATTTTCTGTCGTTGAGATTCCTTTTTCAGGTCTCGATTGAGCAACCAAATCAGAAGGAAACCCGCAAGAGAAGAAGGCATACCTTTTGTAAGACCTTAGTTCCCATCCCTTGATTTTACCAGCCTCCACAAGAGCCTTCTTCCACCGCTCCACTTTCTCAGCGCCCCACGTCCGCCTGAGCATGTCCACGGCGTCTCTGTAGATGGGTGTCTCCAGTTTCACGTCAGACGGTCCCCTATTGTAGAAAACGGGCCGGACCTCTTCCTTCCCACCTGATCTAGAAGCGTGTTCCGCCATGAGCGCGAGCGACTCAAGGCACCAAGGGCTATAGCCGTAGGTTCCGGTGAAGATGGGCACGTAGATCTTGGAGCTGTAGACCCGTGTCGGGAGCTCTTTGGGAGTACGTAGGGGTGCGTCGTCTCTGAAAACGAGAAGCCCGCCAGCTTGCAAGCGGCGATGGAGGGAATGGGCGAACCCAAAGGGATTTTCGGACCCGCTGAAACTCAGGAACACATCGTAACTCGATTCAGCCGCCACTGACTTCATCATAACTTGTTTCCGCTTCACTTGTACATCATGGGCTGCTATCAGTCTTGTGCGAGCGATTTCAGCCAACCTCACTGCTTCAACTTTGCTTCTTTCCCCTTTACTTTGATCCAGCCTCGCCGGTTCATCTTCGCCCATTTCCAGATTATAGACATCGTATTCAGCCATACTCGATTCAACCTTCTTGATTCAGCCTTGCTGGTTCACCTTCTTCCGCCTCTTATCCGTTTTCTGCCTGCGGATTCCGCTCGTCCTCCGGCTTGTCACTCCACCTGGGTTTGTGTATAGACTAATCAACTGAACCGGCAGGTCCGGGTTTGCCGCGTTCAATCTGAGCCGTCGATTTAAGAGAAAGCAAATTCCTAAATAATAAAATAAAACTAATTGGTTACCAACATTCGAGAAAAAATTAATACTTACAAGATTCTCGACATACCGTTTATTGACAAAACTTATGATAATAATCGATGATAATAAATTCAAATTGTCCACGATATTTCATGAAAAGTAAATGTGTTAAAATGGGTCCATTGGACTGGATTGTTCAAACATTTCAAAGGGTTAGGTGAAAATGAATTTAAAAAATTTAAGTTGAATCAGGCTGGGTCGAGTCATGCAACTTCTCCATCATGAGCAGGGACACGGCCCCACCAATCTTGACTTCGCAAGCCGGCCCCCGCACTGGTGGTTGCGCCGCGGTCGCCTGCCTTGGCCTTGGCCGTCGCGTCTCCCTTCTCCCCTCGCTCAAGTCACTTGAGTGAAATTTTCTGCTTAAGGGTTGGTGAATTCGATTTCCGACCTAAGATACTTCAAATTATGTTGAAGTTTAGTTTAGGATTCGTCGATTTTTGGCTTGTCATTGCCTTTTGCTCTCGCTCTAGCCATGACTCTGGATGATTCTGCACTTACTTGAGTCTCTATTAGCATGAATTTTGGCCCTATAGATAATTTTAGGGAATGAAGCACTTGAGAAAATTCAATAAATATCCTCGCACTATAGATAAAAAGAAAAAATTGTTTGCATCACATAGAATAAATGGAACTCAAATGATAAAGAGATATACCAGTACTAGGAGTGATAGTGTCTCAACGACATGGAAGTTTGAACATGAGAAATATAGGACAATGCCTATTCGGATGATTATAATTAATGAACAACCTTTTTGGATGGTTGAGCGTGTTGAATTTTGTGATTATATCAATTAGTTACAACCTCTCCTCAAGCATATGTCGCGATTTACGGTGGCTAGATATTGTATAAAGTTGTATTTTTATTAAAAAAAAAAAGTTAAGGGCTTTCGCACTCACCAAATTGCTCAATCAAGGGTTAGTTTATAGTATTCGTAACGTGGATTACTTTCCTATCTAATGGATTATTTGACTATATTTGTTTTTCTTTGTTCCATGATATTCCCTAACTCTTATCTTTGAGAGTCATTTCCTGTCTTTCCAGATATGCCCCTCACATATAAAATATAGGGGATCTCAACTAATGGAAAAAGATTGATTATAGACTAGTAAAATATGAGACAAGATTCGAACATAGGACCTCCTGCTCTTATATCATGTAAGATTTTATGGGATTACTATGGACTCTTCTAAAAATTTAAGCAGGTAAATGAAAACGTTGTTTAATATTTAAATATTCTATCAGTAGATAGATCCAGCAAATATGATGAATCGACTTCTTTGAACAAGTTTGTTTTATGAACAAGGTAAGGCATATCACAATTCCTTGCTTTGAAGGCATCATATGAACCACTGACTTTCCATTTTGCTTTCTTATTATTTCTTTTAATAGAAGTCAAAAGTTGTTGGATCCACAATCGTTCAATTTGTTTAATTATTAAGAAGATTCATCTTCCCAGAGCTCAATTAGAGCATTCTCAGCTCTCTCTTCATACGTTGACTTGAGCGTCGGAGTCTCCAGAGAGTTTCCACAAGAGACTTCTTTGAAGGATTCGAGGTCACTCAAGAAAGGAAGGTTGAAAAGATTGCAGCTGAATTTCTAGCTTCATCACCATCAAACAAGGGGAACAAGGGGAGCGGCCATACCAATGTCTCCATCCTTGGAATGACCGCTCCATTGCTTAGCGAAATATAAAATTGTACACAATAATTTTAAGTGCAACCTTTATTTTCTTCCTCACAGTTCAACATAACATATTTTGAGGACATTTTATACATTTTAATATGATTCCTTCTATATTCAAAAATTTTCCGAACACAAGAAAAGGAATCGCCGTATTCTTTCCACCTCATTCATTCATGACAAGTAAACATTGTAATATCTATTCCAATCCATTCCTTCCTTTACCCCACTCCTCTCTTATTCCGTTCCATCGTACCAAACGTAGAGTAAGCTCATTTATGTCTAGGGACCAGAAGATTGTTTCAAACATCCTTTCTCGATGGTATCTAATTTTCAGCGCAATAGCGAGGTGGGATGGGATAAACTAGTCTTGATAATGGACGTGGCGGTCCATGGGCACATCCATGTCCATCTCGAGTCATACAAGCACAATAAATTTATTAGGCGGGTTTGGAAAAGTGCATTCTGTAAGGAAATGCGCAACCCAGCCCAGTTGGGCAAGAGTCAAGCATGTCCCGGACCCGCCGAATGATCGCCTCTATTATGACGGGCGAGTTGGGCAAAATTTATGCGCAACCTAGCTTGGACCCACCAAATGATCGCCTCTATTATGCAAGGCTCTATAAGACAATTGATGGCAAAATTGGAAGGAATGCCAGCGGAAGATATATTTAGGACAAATGGTACCACTTTGAAAATTTATGTGGGTCAAAAAATATTTTAGGGTAAATATGTCAAAGTGAAACCAATTTAGAATAAACTATCATGATAGCACAATATAAAATTAAATATAAAACCACAAGCAAGAGAGAGAAAAACCAAAATTAAGTGATGTATGATCTTCATTTGATAATGCTCCTCTATTAGAGAAGATATTTTATGTGACTGTTATACCGCGTGTACAATTACATTACATGGTAATAAAATGTTAATTAAAAGTGAGTGACTCTAAAATTAAGTGTCACGTAAGATGAGAAATATATCACAGGAGTCGTAAGATTGGACAATTGCAACATGTCGGCCGTGTAAGCGACATAAAAAATACTCTTTCTCGACATTGAGTGAAATTGCGCTCATGAATATGCATGTGTCAAGGACCTAATTCTCCCGTACTCTCGTAAGCTAAAGAGTGGAGTTTTGTGGCATTGGGGTGAAGAGTGAGTGATGCAGAAGAGATAATAAACTGGTTTATAAGAGTCGCGTCAGGGTGTTTGTGCTGGTAATTCTAGAGTATAATGAATAACATTTTTAGAGGAACTCTTATGATGGGGTTGGCCTCCCGTACACAAACCAGTTGGGAGCTAATGCCGCTCTCATGATAAGGCCATGACATGTTGAAATCAGTTGTTAGAAGTGTTTTCTATGTCTCGTTCGAGGGACTAGATGCTTGAGCTAAACTTGGCGTAGTACAATCCATTGTGAAGATACTATTCATCATACTATTTTTAGAAATAATAGTTAGGGTTAATACTACGAAAAACCCCAAACTAGTACATTTGTGATAATTTTACCCCGAATTATTTTTTTGACAACAAAAAATCCGAAACTGATACACCAGTGACAATTTTACTCCGAACTATTTTTTTGACCACGAAAAACTCCAAACTGGTATACTTGTGACAATTTTATCCCGAACTATTTTTTTTACCACGAAAAACCACACACTGGTACACATGTGACAATTTTACCCCAGAACTAATTTTTTTACTACTAAAAACCTCAAACTGATACATTTGTGACAAATTTACCCTCCGTTAGTGTTCGTTAAATTGGATTAATATCACGAAAAATCACAAATCGGTAAACTTATGATAAACAAAGAGGTAAAACCCAAAACCGGTACACCTGTTAACTACCACGTGTCATTAAACTTAGCAATTTGACAGTAAAATTTAACGAAAACTAACGGAGGGCAAATTTGTTAAAGGTGTACCAGTTTAGGGTTTTTTGTGATCAAAAAATTAGTTCGGGAGTAAAATTATCACAGGTGTACCAGTGTGGGGTTTTTGGTGATCAACAAAATAGTTCGGGGTAAAATTATCACAAGAGTACCAGTTTAGGGTTTTTTGTGATAAAAAAAATAATTTGAGATAAATTTATCACAAATATACCAGTTTGGAGTTTTTTATGATATTAACCCTAATATTTAAAAGGAAGGCTAGCTTGGTATTCTCGGCTCATTAGATGTCACACTGGCTATTCGGCAAAATCTGTATGCCTGTGACATATGCGCCATGGTCAGCGACTTTTTACCTCAACTTTTGATTTAAGAGGCTGCTTGAGACACATTTATGAAAAGAGGGGCATTTGAGACAAAGGAGTGTCTCGTGGAAGGAGCTTCTATGTTCGGGTAAAGGCCCGGTCATTTAGGGCGCGCATAGTAACATTTCTGTTCCAGAAATCAATTTCTAGCCAGAAATATATTTTTCTATTTCTATTTCGAGGACGAGTTTCTAAGCAAAAATGCGTGTTTGATAATGACACAAAATTTCTGTTTCTGAAATAGAAATTCGTTTGATAACGACACAAAATTTCACCTTCCGGCGGCCGATGGAGGGCGGTGAGTGTCGGAGGACGGTGGCCGGCGGCGGGAGGTGGCCGGGTGGCGGCAGCGGATGATGGCGGCCAACAGCGGGAGGCAATCGTATGGTGGTCGGCGGCAAGAGGCGGTCGACGGTGGACGGCGGTGGGAGCCGGGCGGCAGGTGGCGGCAAAGGACGCGGGAGGCGACGGTGGGTGGGTTGCGGCCGGCGTTGGGCGGCGGCGAACAACGGAAGATGACGGTGGGAGGAGGCAGTTGGTGAAGGACGCCGGTGGTAGGTGGCCGACGGCGAGAGGCGGCCGACGGCAAGAGGTGGCCGATGGTGGCGGGAGGCGACCGGTAGAAATAGTGAGCAGCAAGGGGGTGGCCGGCTAATGGCAAGGACGAGCGATAGAAAGAGTTTTTATTTCTCATTGGGAAAAAACCACCAAAAACCCCAAACTTTGCCCTACGTGACACATTTACCCCAAACTTTTTTTGTGACACCAAAAACCCCAAAACTTTGTTATTTGTGACACATTTACCCCGATATACTGTAGCCTAGGGTATTTTAGTCTTTTTCCTTTTTTCTATTTTTTTTGTTTTTTCTTTTTTTCGGGGTGCCCTCG